ATGTGAACATCTGCTTTGAACCCAGGTGCAAGATTTCCCCAAATTAGCTCTCATTTGAACTTGAGGGCAACCTTTGGGAAAAAAAGAAAGACCAAACACTCAGCTGAACTTCACTGAAAAATTTCCAGGGAAGCAACACGCACCACTGCCTTTGGTTACAGATGCTAATTAACCTCACTTTGAAATTTGGGTCTTATTACCAGACTGAATTTGTCTAACTTTATTTTCTGCTCTTTTTAACTGGCTACAACTTTGCTATAACTTTGTCTGCCAGAATATAGCACTGATTTTGATTTCTGAGGGTCTCTTGTGTTCCTGTGTTGGTGACAGGTACATAGAGGTGGGGAGGAGAGGAGGCTGTGGTGGGTCTCAGGGAGGTGCAGAGGCCACAAGCTGGTGCGGGACAGAATTGGTTTGACTTGCAAGGAATCTGAAGGGGGACTGTGAAAAAATATTTTGGTCAATTCAGTTTGCTGTGGCTTCACTATAATCTATAAAATCCTGGAAGTTCCCTTTCCTAATCAGCCAAACTCCTACTGTATCTGCTGAAAAGGTGTTATTTTTGGTTGAATTAATAGCACCACTCTACTTTTCCAATCCACCTGAAAAAATTAACTGGGAAAGCATTTTTCACTGACTTTGTGGGCTTCTGCAATTCCTTTAGGAATTTTTCTGTCCTTGTATTTGCTCAATTGCAAAGTCCTGACAAAATGAATTTAATTTCTCAGATACCACCCTAGATGAAGATAAAGGAATAAAACAGTAGGATGCATGTCCTCCCTTAGTTTTCCTGCACTGTTTATTATTCCATTTTAAGAAACAAAACTGTAGTCACGGGAGCTTTTCCTACCAGGTTTAGTTTGCATTTCCATTGTCAAAAGCAAAGCTCAGAGCTGATGCTAAGGCCCTGTTGGGGAGCAGACACCCAGCTAGAGCAGCCTCTTTGCTCTCCACAATCCTAATTGTTCCACAGGCAAATTTGCAAATAGACAGCTGAAACTGTGTTAATCTCTTGGGATTACTTGGACCAGGCAATGTTCTCATTGTGTGAAGAAGTTTAGTTCTGTCAAGAGAGGTATCATCATACACTTAATGCAGGGGATTTTGTGGGGGTTTAAAGGTGCGTTTGGAGGAGGAGAGGAGTCAATGTGCTGTGTGCTCAACCCTGTCTGGGCCATGTAATCTCCAAACTTCCCAGTTGTTGTTCCCAAAAGGCTCTCTGACCATCTATTTGGCCTTTTATCCTGTGGTAGCCATGAGTGTTAGCTGTAATGTGTTATTTTGTAATTTGGGAGTGCTGGGACAGTCAGCTAGAAGAAGCCTCCTTAGGCTTATGTGAGAAAGAGGAGCAATAGTAAGAAAGGGGAGCATTGGCAGAGAAAACAGCCTGAAGGTTTTAAACCAAGGATCAATTCTGAAAGCAAATTGGAGGGGTAGGGCATCTCATGGCAATCTTTCCATCTCTTAACATCACAAATCTCTGGCAGTGAGCAGTGAAAGGTGGTATGCTTGGGTTAGGAGCGGTACCCACAAAGCCTCTTTCATTTAGCTGAGATGAAAAGCCCCTACACAAGCTCTAGTGATGCCACATGTGTGGTTTCCACTCGTTATTTTTAATGTTTAACTGGGCTATCACTGTCTGATCCACAGGCATCGCTGCTTTTTAATGCCCTTTCCTATTAAACAGATACTGTTTAGAATTGCCAGAATATTATAAAGCCACCAGCTAAAGCTATGTCCATCTTGGTTAAATTTATTAATTAGGCTTCACAATGGACTTGCTTGGAAAACCAGTTTGAAGCACAGGTACAGGATCAAATCTATGAGGCACATCATTTTTATTGGATAGATATCTGTAAAATCACAGCTTGCCGTATTTAATTTTGCACTGAAATGATGTTTTGTGTTGTGTTGAAAGCTGATTGTGGGATTGAAAAATTTCCACAAACTGGAAATCAGTCCCCTTGTCAAGGCATCAGTTGAGGTTTTGGCTTTAGCTGGAGCATGCAGGTTTGGCTCCTGCAAGCAATGCAGTTCAGTGATCAAAGCAATAGTTGTATTTAGAAATAGCTAATGAACCTCTGCTGGAATCACTGCTGAATGCAGAGTGTTTTTATTGTGATGGTGTCTGGAGGTCTCATCCCCCCTGTGCTAAGGACTCTACAGTGAAGAAGGAGGAGGAAAAAAGGGAAATCAGTTTTACTAGAGCCAGGTAATAGTGAGTGTGGGTCAGAAGGGAGTGCAAAAATGAAATTGCAAGGAGGGTTCTGAGATAGAGCTGAGGCTCTTCACCTCCTTCCAGGCTTCAGAACAAGCAGGAAAGAAAGGAAAAGCTGCTTGTCACACTTGTAATAAGAAGCAAATGGTGTTGGTCAGGTGAGGCCAAGGGGCCATCCAGGACCCATCGCCTTCCCAGCTTGGCCAGAAATGGTCCCTCAGTTCTCCTGGAGCTCAAAATCAGAATATACATATACAGCTGAAGGTTTCTATCTGTATCACTGTATTTAATAGCTGTTGACGCAGCTCTGTGAGTCTGCTTACCCTTGGGTAGGTGGGAATTACCTCAAAGGAGCTGCTGGATCAATTATATTTCCTGTAGGTCTGTAGTGTCACAGTCTTATCGGACTGACAGAAACCTTGTGAGATCACATGACCTGTGCTCCTGTGTGGAGAAATAGGATCAAACATCTGCAGATGATTCCTGTTGAGTGGAGCCAACTAGTTATGTGTGTTGTTGCCACTGAAAATAAAAATAAAACCATGTCCCAAAGAAGGAATCCCAGCCAAAAAAATTAATTACAGTTGAAATAGCTAATTTGAGTGCAGTTAAAAGACTAGAGCTGGACAGGGTTTGTCAGCCTTGAAAGTATAGAGACCTCTGTAAAAAAGATCATAAACATTTAGATACCCTCAAGGGTGCAAATTTCAAGGCCTGAGATCCAGTCTAGGGACCGACTACTGAAAAACAGACCTTCTGCAAAGGTAACTGGCTGGACAAATAGGAAGGGAAGCAAGTGCCTCAGAAACACCAGGAGGGCTGCTGACCCGAAATCTCTGCAACATAAGACCAAGATGAAATGGCTCATTGGAAGAGGCATCTCACAGAAGCTGCTCAGAGGAAGTCCCCGGGAACTGTGATGTGGATGCTGGCATGGCTGGAGGAGCCACAGAGGAATCCTGGCAATGGGAAAAAGGCACCTCTCTTCCCCCTTTCTTCCCTCTTCCTCTCTCAAATATCTCCCTCCAAAGGGATTTTTTGTTTGTTTTTGTTTTCATTTTGATTCCTGCTAAAAGCCAACCCGTGTTGTTTTCTTTTTCATGGGTGAAGAGGCGCGCAGGGAGGATCTAAGCAGCGCTGGAGCCGAATTGGGAGCCACTGTATTAGATTCCAAAATTAGATAGGAAGCTGGGTTTAAGGGTAGTCCAAACCCAACCAGTTCCTCATTTGGCCTGGCCCATGTAGGTGGGCCAGACTGGTTTGGAGCTGTTTTTTGGACAGGCTGTTTGCCCATGGAGGAAGCCATTCCAGCCGCAGTGGGGCTGGAGCTGGCGCCTGGTGCTCAGCCAGGCCAGCTCCTGCTCTCACTGGCCTGTGCTGCACATGCATTGGAGGCTTGGTTTAAAGAAATTCTGCTGCTGCTTTCTCAAGCAGATGAGGACAACTGAAGGTGCTATTTCAGGCTGACTTTGTATGCATCCTTTTTATCTCAGAAATCGGGATTGCATATGAAATTTTATTTCAAGTGCAGTGCTCTTTGCTCTGACTTTCACTTTTTCTGTATCTTCACCATTGAAGAGCTTATAAAAAATGTCTGTTGGGTTTTACCTTTAATCTTTTCCAACAAAGGATTTCATAGTATTATCTAAACTGTACTACTAACTTTTGTCATTTGGCTAATATGAACTATTGAAATATACCTTGTATAGTAAGCAAAATTTACACAGGAAAGATCAAATTATTTGCCCAAATTCACAAAATAAATCAACAGCAAAAGCTAGAAAGCATTGTATCACATTTTCCCTTGTAGCAGCTTTAATGGTTAAGTGGGCTTTCTATTTCTATTCCCAATCACTACTGATGATCTGAACTTAAAATCCAAGATACTATATCTGAGATAAATCTCTACTGATGTTCTAAAGTGCTGCTAATAGTATGGTCTAAGGGGCTGTACATCAAACAGCCTCAAGCATGTTTATGATGTGAGCTGTTACAGACTCAAGTCTGTTTCTTTTTCTCATCACCACCTTCCTGGGAGGATAAAACCCATATTCAGACTTTACACTATGGAGAAGAAGCATTTATTTAGAGGTGTTCCGAGTTAGGCTGATTTAAGCTTCAGCTCAGCTGATGAATGGGGATGCTGTGTAGACCATCTTATAATGGATTGAAACTTTGCTTACAGTATTTTGCCTTAATTTAGTAGGAGGCTCAGGTTAGGTCTGAAAGGAATGAAAAAAATATACAGAGGGATTTACACAGCTTTTATTAAATAAGATTGAAAATTGTATGTTGTTAAAGTGAACATAAGAAGGGATACAGTGCCTCTAGCCCTGCTGTAAAGCTATGTTTAGCTGTGTTCTCCTGAATTTTGTGGCAGCTTGGTATCTAAACAGGCACTGAGTGCCTAAATCCATGGACTGAAACCTCTGTAGATCTTTAAACAGCTCAGTATTTTTGACTCCTAGCTATGAGAACAACAGCTCCAGTGAAAACAGCCCAGAGGTTGTATGCAAAGTTTTCCTCCATCTTCCTGGAGCTCATGGTGATGGTCCTGCAAGTCTTGCTCTGTGGCTATAGAGCCACAGCTTCGCTCCTGCCGTGCCAAGGTTGTGACATCCCCGAGCTGTTCTCGCTCTGTCCCATGGCATGAGAGCAGGATTCAGCTTGGTGCTCACCTATGGCTCTCCCCACAGGGCTCCCTCTCACCCTGGGCCTCCTGAAATCTCCTTGGCCAGTGAGTCTTGAGTCATGCTGACGTGTTTGGCCATTTCATCACAAGGCCCAATGTCACTACTGTTTGTGTTACGTGGGGGAAATGTATTCTCACTGTAAGGGAAAAAACTCTGGCCGTCACTGGATGAGTTATTTTCCACTGTTTTCACTCCAACAGCATTATTGCGCCTGCTGCTAAAATCCTTAACCTAAGATAGAATTGCCTCCCTGGTATCTCCCCTCTCCTTTCTCCAGTAGCCAGGAGTCCCGTGGGCTCAGTGTCCTCATCGCCTCAGAGCGGCTGCCCCAGCTCCCAGCACAAGCAGCCGCCTTTTGCTGCCTCTGCAGGACGAGGGGCGGCTGCTCTCCCTCTGGGGACACGGGACTGCGTGCCGGGGAGGATTAGAAATCAGCATCATGGCCCTGCTTGTGGACAGGGACCGAGGCTGAAAAAGTCCTTTGAAGGCAGAAGTTATTTTGGAGGAGAAAAGTATGGTTTTCATTGTTTAGATGAGGGGGTTTCGTGTTTTATGGATGTCTGGGGGCTGGGGAGGTGCTCTTCTTTCTCTGTGTATGATATTGTTCAGGGCAAAAAAAAAAAAAAAAAAGAATTATCTACATTTGTGAATTTAAGGTTTTTTGGCCAGAAGTGTAACGATTTTTAGGGTTTGATTTTTCTCTGGGAAAAAAAAAAGAAAACAGAGCGTTTTGAGAAACAAGGCTGAGTAACCAAAATATGTTTGTTTTTGTTTAAATCATTCAGTAGAGAAATCATCTCTTGTCTATTGTTAAGAGCGAGGTTTAAATCAAAGGCAAGTTCTACATATTCTAAAATATACAGACAACTCTTTGAAAGCAAAGCCAAGCCAAACTTTAAAAGAGACCTTCTCCTTGATGCAGAAGTTTTCAGTTAGTTACTGCGCTGGGGCTTGAGTGGAAAGAACCAGCCTGAGAAACAAATGGCAAATCCCCATTTCAGCAGCGGAAGCCAGGAAGAGCATCATATTAATAGCACACGAGACCTTTCCACAGCCGTCCTAGTCCAGGGCTTTTCCAGCAGCAGTGAGGAAAAGCCTTTGCAGTTCGTGGGGATGTTTTTTTGTGTTCACATTTGGCTGTGGAAGTTTGAAGCGAGCGGCAGAGCAAGGGAATGGAGGGCCTGATCCTCTCATGTTGGGTGGTCCCTCCTACCGCAAATAACCCTATTGGAAACAGAGGGACTATTTGTGGAGTCATTTGTTTGTCAGGAAAACCAGGGTTTGTAGGATACGGCCCCAATTAGCAGCCAAATTTCTGGTTATTTTCTCGTGATAAAAAGGCGGGTATCTGTTGCAGAGATGCACGTAGCATCTCTCCAGCTCCCATTTGAACTCCTGCCACTTGATCTGTGCTTCTTCCCACTTCCTCAGACGTGCAAAGATTATTCCAGCACCACAGTAGCTCAGATGAGCTGGGTGCTTCCCTCCTGCCTGGCCCTGACTTGGCCTCCAGTCCTTTTCTGTGCTGTTTGGGATTGTTCTGCTCTCTGGGACTCATCAGTGAGGGCACTTGGCAGTTGCTCTTAAGCTTTGGCTCCAAGGACAGCAGGCAGGTGATTTCCACCCCCTGCCTGGCAAATACACAATCCCCCAATAAACCCTGCTTTTAGTATGGCTTGGGTACAGCCAACCCCATCCAGAGCATATCCTCTCCTGAATCCAGAATTTTCCAGGAGATTAACTTAACGGACAGTTTATCACTGAATTGTATCTCTTGGAAGGTCAGGAAGGAAAGGAAAGGAAGGAAAATTTGTAAGGGAAGGAAAAAATTGCCCAGACAGTGGGCACCTGCCCAACCTGTGCAGGCTGGCACAGCAGGACCACCACGCTGCTAACCCCATGTGAGTTTGGTAGATGCCAGGAGAGCTTTTTGGGAGCTGCAGGAATGCTGATAGTAGTGTCCTTATTTGGGGGAGGAGGAGTGCTCTTGATGGTTGTATTATTTTGTGACTCCCTGTTTTGGTAGCCCTAAGTCATTAGTTGATTTTAATTTTTTTTTTTTTTTTTTTTTTTGGCTAATCTGAGGCACACTGCCACATCTGAAGCCACTTGGCTTATTATGGATTTCATGGAAACTGATTCTCTGAAAGTGTTTCCATATGTGTGTTCCCAATATATCCCATCCTTTTCTAAATGGGAGTACAAACTCGCACACGAGCTGGAAATGGCTTCAGGATGTGACAGAGAAGTCATATGACTGGAGTGGCACTGTGTGTGGCCCTCTCTGAAAGACACGGTGTCCTGTGTGCTGGCTCCTATCCTACAGTAGATCCAGTTTCAAAGAATATCTTCCTTCACGGCTTCTTAAAAACTCTTAATCAAGAATCAGCAAGGAATCCTCTGTCCTCAGGAGAGATGTCCATTAGTCGAATAAGATGCGAAAGGAAAATTTGGATGGGGAGGGAAAAGCAGGGGTTTAAAGGGTGAAATAACAGAGCAATGCCAAGGGCTTCCCCCCCTTCTCTGTCCCTGCAAAACATAGTTCCTTTGTGTCTGCTCGAGGATCAGATGGTATTTCTGAGTTAGTAGCATGCAGTGGAAAAGTACAATTCATGACAACATTGGAAACAAATATTTATACTGGACAGTTAAGGCACATTTTTCTGAAAAGAAGAAAAAAAAAGAAAAAGAAGGAATAAAGTCGCCTGTGAGCCATGATGTATATTAACTTCCCATTCACTGGATTTACTCAGGATTCTTGTCCTGCTGCTCTCCATCGCCGTGCCTGCTCCGTAGCCCTGTGGTTTCACCCCCTTGCTGTATACAACACTCTGAGGTTGCTCTTCAAGAAAAGCCTCAAGTGCTCCTGCTGATGCCTTTCGGCTGGCGGAAAGCAGTGACGGCTGAAATTCAAGCAGGAGAAGTTGGGGAAAAGTGAGCGGAGAGCGCTGCGCTCTTGCGTGCGTGTTTGTGTCACGCGGTGTTGCAGAGCTCCTGGACTTATTTCCAGGAAACTTTATTTACTGTTTGGTTCCAGTGCAGCGTATAGATGGCCTGAGACTTTAAACAAGCAGGGGGCTTTTGATACATTGCCAGTTCCTTTCCACCCAAATCACCCGTGACAGCTCCAGACCCGAGTCACTGAGATGAGATAGCAAAGGCTGAGAAGTGCAGAGGCTCCCCATCACACCAGGTCAACAGGCATCCACGGGTGGCAGGTCATAACCACCAACCCAGGGTCTATTTCTGTAATGTGACCATTTGTCCCCCTCCTGTGGTTCTCATTAGGAAGGTTTATAAATCCTGTATAAGTGAGGCGACATATATAAATGAGATGGTGGTGGCTGAAGCTTCCAGAGCTTCATTTTTTACTCTCAACAGTCCATCTTGGGGGGGTTGGTTGCTACATTTTTCTACCTATTGATGTTTCCTAAATTTTAGATGAGCTTTTTCTGGGAGTGCAGAGAGCAGCCTTCTGTGTTTCAGTGCTTAATGTCACCCAGCAAGACTTCAGTGCCTTAAGGAAAGCAGCTTCATCCAGCAGAAAAGTGCTGTTGAGGGAGCAGGACAGGTAATGACAGAGCCCAGGCTGAAGAAATGCAAAGAGACTCCAATTTTGGTGTTAAGCAATATAGCATCTCTGTTTGAGAAAGGCTCTCCTTTATTTGCACGAGTGGTACTTTAATGGCCACTACTAACTATGTTATTTATGGAGTGTTTCTCCCAGCAAAGGGCTTAGGTGCAGCACCATAAATTCAATGAAAACATCTATCTGCAAATTAATCTGTGGTATTTTAGGTGCTAAAGACCTGTTACCTAAATACCAGGAGGTACCAGCATGCAGTTTACTGTGTGAACTGGGGTACTGAGTGACTATGAGAAGGGATGCAGTGGAATGAGGGTCTTGCCTGCTCTGTAAAAGGCTCTGAAAGGGTTAAAGTGTTCCTTCCTCCCTCTGACTTTTGTGAGACTGCTGTGCTTAATAATGTTGCAGTTTAAATGGTCCCAACTAGGCCTTGAAGTTAACACCTTGTTGAGGTGAAGAAAAGAGGGGGGAGCAGTTCACACCTTTTCTGCAGCTATTGTTTGCCTGGAGACCTTTCTGGGGTGACCTGGGCGGGGAGGAAATTGAGAAAAAAAAAAATGTAAAATGCTTTTTTACTTTCTTTTCTCCTGAACTAAAGGGAGGGGAAAGAGCATTTAAAAACGTATAATTTCCTATGACAAATGGTTCCAAATATCCAGATGACACAATACTCATCCAGAAAGTAAACCAGGGAGGGAGAAGTCCGGTGCATTATTTCTGGGGTGTTGCATGGACCTCGCCCTCCCAGCACGCAGACACTCGCTGCTGGATGTGTGGGAGGAATGTCCCTGAGATCCTGCACCAAACTGAGCACCAGTGTAGGTTTGTGAGATCAGGACCTCACAGCTACAGCAAGGAATAGATATAGAGGAGGTGTTCTGGGATCCCTGGGAATTGCAGTCCCAAGCTCCATTCTTCCAGAGGGAAGGTGGTACAGCAGCTTTGGAGAGACAGAGGCTTGCCTGGAAAAAAGCAGAAAGATGATGCTGAGTGTGTGTGTGATTCAATAAACACTTATTAGCAGACACAGGGAACAAGAATTTAACAAAACGAAGAGCAAAGTAACACTGTCCCTCTGATACAGAAGGATGCTGGGGGAAACCCCAAAGACATCCAGATGGAAAATAATCACTCCCCCATTAAAACACACTGCAAAGAATCCCTCAGACTGGCAAAACCAGGAGCTCAGAAATTAGAAAATCCCAGTACTTACATTGCCTGTGCAACTTTAAATCAGTCTCATTCTGCTTATGCATTATATTACAAATTTTAATTACAGGATCACATGATACTTTTCCCACGGGATTCCTGTCTCATTCAGTGCACAGGATGGACAGTGCTAACTTAATGAGCAGCTCTTCAATATTTTGTTTGCTTCTTGTTCTTTGCATTTTCTCAGGCCTTGTTTATTGCAGAGCATTAAGTGCTGCTCTGAAGAAGGAATCCTTAATTTCTTGCTTGGTTTTGCTCTAATATTTCTGCCATCGCATTTATTCACTGCAGTGCAATATTCCCAAGAAAAAAAGAACCCTCTTTAGAAAGAGAAATGAGACTGACCTTAAGGTCTCGTGTCGTTCAGTGTACCCTCTGTGTGTCACCTACAGCACAATTCCAGTTCTGTCTGTATCCTTGTGTTCAGACCTGTGATCCCGTTGGCTTCAGCTGCAGCTGGGAATGTTTAGCGCACGTGCAAATCAGAAGCCAACATCTTAGCTGCACACAGAAAATAAGGGAAGTGAAAATGGGATTTGGAGACATTTCAACTGAGTCATGTAGGAGCCATGTGGCAGAAACACATATAAAATCCAGTTAACTCAGGAAATAATTGGGTCTCTCTCGCCTTGTTCACTTCACCCTTTCTGATTTCTTGGAGCAGTGGATCTGGGGAATATATAGACAATGGTCTTCTCTATTCCTCAACTCAGATGCATCTCCAGAGATGGCCAGCTTGGGCAGATTAATGAGAAAGGAATAGCATCTTGTGTATCTGAATGCTTTGTCATAGTGCATTGGAGAAGCAACTTCACTGCTGGTGTTTCCAAAGTTTCTCACTCTTCACATGGTAACCTTAATAATATCCCTTTGTTTACCTCTGGTTATGTTTATAGTTTCTCAGATTTCTGAAAAAAAAGTAAACCCCAAATAACCCCACCTTCCCAAATTTTACTTTGCAATGTTATACGAACACCCACATGGTCTCCTTTCACTCAGGGTCTGCCATCCCAAAGAATGGAGCCGTCGATGGACTGATTCTTTTTAGGCTGGCATGGGGACAGGTGGCAATGTCCCTGTGTTTCAGCAATGTTTGCAGAAAAAATGCTGGGACTTGTGACTCCTGGATTTCATTCCAGTCTCTAGACAAGTGTCTTTATAGGGGCATAGACTTTTCTGCCCATTTTTAGTCAGAGTGCTTATGATTTGTTCATATTTGGCTGGATTTTCATGGCAACATCTCTCACACAAAAGCCACTCCTATTCCAAAGTTCAAGTCCTTACTTCAAAGCATGGAACTGGTACAGCTTTTCAAAGGAAGGCTCCTCAGAGTTTAAGATTGGTAAAACAATGTATTTTTCCCAGCAGAAGAGTTTCAGCTGAAATTTTAAAAACAAATAAATGCATAAATCAAAATTTAGCCTGAGACAGACACCCAGCATGGACAATTTCAGCCAGAACATTTAAAGTTTGGCAAAGCTGTAAGAGACTGAAATCGTCTCATCATGTGAAGTGCGTGGCATGTTTCATCCAAGGCGATATTATCAGCTGTAAGTAATCCAGGCTGTGCTTATAATTCAGAGACATAGATGTTGGGGAAGGAAAAAACTATTTTAATAGGTCAATTAGTACAATGTCCCAGCCTGAATTGAACTGTTGAACAAAACCCCACAAAACCTAGTTTCGACTTCAGCAAATGTCTTAACACTGAAGTTCCCTGGAACACAAGGGAATCATTTAGCTACTGGTAAATAAGTTTAACTATATGTTGCCGAATTTCCTCAAGACCGACTGTTCAGTGAATACAGAATTACTCTGGTTTCATGCATCGAAAGATTCTGCATTGACTTGATGGGCTAGAAATTTCCCTATGAAACATATGCAATAACCCAAGGGGATTTCCTTCCTGTTAGTGACCATTTATGGCATTAAATAACAAAACAAATTGTAATATTTTTAAGTTATAAAAATATCCTGTAAGTCTTTAAAGTAGTTGTCAGCTGGTTATACCTACAAGGAGTTAATCTGTCCACAATACATTATGATCTTTAATAATTGGGAATGATTGACCAAAGTGCTGTAAACCTGACAGAAATTTGTTGCCTGATTTTCTGCAAACCACAAGTGCAGCTTATTAATTGAGACCTCAGCATTAATTGGCACTAGCTTGCATTTGTAAACTGCAAACATGCAGCTGTTAATGGTGGAGCTGCAGAGCTGCAACAGGTAAAATTGGGTTTTAAGCATGAATGCAAAACAATTTGAGCTGGCTGCTGGCAAATGCCCAGGTCTAGGGTTTTTAATGAGTCTTCTGCATCAAAATAAATTAAGCCACATGGAATTTTAATTGTTCTTATTCTAAATATGAAACACACTGAAGCAGTATTCTTGAATCTGGGATGTTAGCATATATATTGGCATATTATCATGACCACTTTTCTGCTCTAAACATTTAGCTCTCAGAAACCTGGAGTGCTAGACTATGTTATGAAGGAATCAGCCTGGAAAATTTAAAAATATTTTAACCAGGACTCATTCAGATTTAAAGTTTTTTGGTTTTTTTTCAAAAATACACTTTTTTCTAATTTTTTTTTTTAATTGTTAAGCCCAGTCAGCTGATGAGACTGTATAGGAGAAGATCACTTGCTGTGCTCTTCAACATATCTCTCTTTCTGGTGGCACAAAATAAAGTCTCTTCTCTTTGTACAAGCATTGTTTTGCAATGTGGTGCCCATAATGTAGAGCAGAGGGTCTACGCTTCACCCATTTAGTGCAAGCTATCACAAGAGTGGGAACTCACAGATGCAAATGGTTTTCTTGATCTGACGGAGGAAAAATTAGCATAAAGCTTTAATCCTCCTGGGGAGAGGAATAAATAAATTATTATAATATTATAGTTATTATATTATGAATTATATACTTGCACTGTCATGTTACTATATTGCTGATCCACATCACTGTTTGTGCACAACTAGATATACAAAGATGGGTGCCATACCCAGTAGAACTATTTCACTTCCCAGCCCAGCAAAGAGCTTAACATGTATAAATTAATAGGAGTCTGGGGTTTCTAAGTTCAAACCAAAATCAACCTTAACATAAGGAGGTAGCATAGTGAAAGGAGGAGGAGGAGAGTGAAAAGGAATCAGCAAGATTGAACAGCAGTGAGAGTGGCAAGAAGCTGAAGTTTAGAGCTGACTTTTTCATAAGTTTCCCTTAGAAATGAGACTTTATTTTCTGATCTTTAAAAATGACTTTCCATAATGGAGATACAATAAGGTTGGGAACAAATCACAGCCCTGTGCAGGGAGTTATGGAGACAGCAAAGGGCACTTGGGCAAAAGGGGAGTTGGAGAAGTGAGTGTGCAGGAGCTGTGCAGACACAGCCATGAGTGAGATAAGACAAGGTTATGGTTGTTTGGCCTTTGGGTAAATACAATTGTGCTTTGCAAGCAACAGTAAAAACAAACAAGTGTGGATTTACTAGGGTACATAAGGAGGTCTGCAGCCCCACATTTGAAATGCCTACGTGTGGTGTGCACATTCCCAGTCATTCCACACAGACATAATCTCACGGCAGCACCATGCAGATAATATTTGGATCTAGCTCTGAAAGGGAGGTTGCCTTTTAATGTGTAAAACTGTGTGGAGACCTTTGTATTAAGAAAAAAAAAAAGAGTATTAGTTGCAAAGAAACCAAAAATACCAATGTTCTTCTACACCCTTATACTCACACCAATTCCACCTTTGATTGTAAAAGCCTTGTTTAGCTTCTATCAGGGTAAACTAACAGCAACTCTGTTCATGCTGGGAGAGTTGCAATAACAATAAATAAAAAATAAAAAGAAAAGACAATAAGCAGCAGCAGAATGAAACTCAGTATTTTGAGCAGCTGGGGAAATTATGTTCTAACCTTATATTTCCAGATATGTATCAGACCTGTTCACAATATAAAGGATAGTGTTCCAAAATTACAGCTTTGAATCTGGGTGGTATTGCCTCTGGCTATTGTTTGCAGTTGGGAACGAAAGAAGTTGCATCAAGTAGTAGAGTGTTTGCTGTAAAGGTACAAGTTATATTACATTCCAGGGCACTGTGGTTGGAGGGGTTGATGATGGAGACAGACCCATTCACCCACAGGTCACTGATCCAGTCCGAGATAAAGATAATAGTAATCACATTGTCATCAGAGTTTGGAATGGGCTTTTTCTGCCCACTTATAGCTCTGTGCTCAATATTGTTAGAGATGGAGGATTGTAATCCCCAGGTTTCAGGCCGATTTGGAGGCTTGGCTGGCTGTGGGCCAGGTCCTTCAGCCTGAACCCAAACTGTGTCTGAGCTGTGCCCCACTGCTGCTTTTAGATATCTCTGTAGGCATGGATTCACTGAGCTGGGAGAACAGGCCGGAATAGTGATCTAAATTCCAAAATGTGCCACACAAGGTAGCAAAGGCTGTGGAATCTGTTGCTTACAGCAGAGTGGAGCAGGAACAGAAGGGCTGGAGAGACCTTTCTGTTACAAAGCAATGTCAGCAGGGCAGATCTGAAGCCTGACTGCGAGGAAAATCATTGCTTCATCTTAAACTGAGGATACACAGAGCATCTCAGTGTTTAGCACATCATTTTGGCATCTAGAATATGCCATATTTTCCTTTTAGTTAAGTCAGGATCAGCAGACTGACAAAGAGGTGAGTGAACCCTTGTATCTGGAGGGCTGTAAAGCTGTAGGAGCATCAGCAGGAAGTGCAGGAAGGGTCCATTTGATTTCATAATTTTCCCCCTTTATTTACACCCTACTCTTTTCAGCTCTCTATAAATATATGTGTCTGCTGCATACTGGCCATTGCATTTGCCTCCTCCTGCTCCGTACTTCCTCATTAAGCTTTCCCTCTTTCCCCCTGTCCTTTTCCCACACCCTCTTTGTTTTCCACTCTTCTGACTCTCAGTACGAGCTTTCACGATCTTTGTCTTCCACTCCTGTCCATCCCACAATCTCCTAAGCACATCACCAAGCTAACGTTTGCTTTCCAGTTCTGCTCCAAAGCTTTGGGTGTTTGATGTGGGATTAGAAATTAGGCAAAATGAGTTTACCCATCCCTGTTTTGCGTTAGACTCCAATTCACAGCGTTACCATCCAGACGTTCACAGTAGTCATAAACTGTGTGGTCTTTTTTTTTTTTCAACCAGACTGCAGAGACTACATACAAAAACAATTTTTTTCAATGGCAAAAAGAGTGTTGGGCTTGTAATTTTCCATCAACTTCTCTGAAGAGTAAAATCTGCATTTTTTTCTATCAGCTTAATGGCCTTGTCCATCCTTCGGATGCAGCAAACTGTTTTTTAGCCAAAGGAAGCAGCTGAGCGGATTCTCACCTAACTAAATTGATTTAAGGCAAGAAGTGGGTCTTAGTCAACGCCCGTGTAACTCTTCTGGTGTCAGTGGTGCAGTTAACTTGGTGTTGCCAGCTCTTGTAGCTTTACTACAAGTACAAAGTGATTTCTGCTTTTCTGGAAACCCCAGCTCCTGACGGCCTGTGCTGAGGTGGGAATCTCTTTTGTGTGCAACCAGACCTGAGTTTTTCAAGAGGCTCGAGCAAAAAAACAGAGATACATGACCCTCAAAACTCTGAAACCAAGGCAAATCAACTCCAAGTCCACCTTTCATTTTTGGCTCTTTTTTAATCTCTAGATTTTAGAAAATTTTTGTCCTCGTTCTTTTTTGGCTCTTTTTCAATCTCTTGATTTTTGAGATTTTTTTTTACCCCAACCTGACTCATGACCTTTGAGCTCTTCAGGTTGGCAATGCTGCTCCCTCCATTGGCATCAGTGGAGTTAGACCCGGGATGAGTTTGGCCCAGCGCTTCTAGAAGACAGATGTATGACTCTGTTCCTTGCAATGTGTTGCTTGATATGATCTGCTGTTCTTTTGGGGGCCAAAAGAAGTGGGTAATCTTAGAAAAATAAAATTCTATCATCACGTGATACAAAAAATGGTATTTACAGAATTGTTTTCCCCCGTCTTTTGTTATAATTTTTTAGGTGCTTCAGAGCTGGGCCCATTTTCAGATCCCAGGCAGTTCACAAGCATTTCATCCCTCACTGAGAGCCGCTTCTCCAACCCACGAATGCACTATCCAGCCACCTTTACCTATACACCGCCAGTCACCTCAGGCATGTCACTGGGTATGTCCGCAACCACTCACTACCACACCTACCTACCACCACCCTACCCCGGCTCTTCCCAAAACCAAAGTGGACCTTTCCAGACCAGCAGCACTCCATATCTCTACTATGGCACTTCGTCAGGATCATACCAGTTCCCCATGGTGCCGGGAGGGGACCGCTCCCCTTCCAGGATGCTCCCGCCGTGCACCACCACGTCCAACGGCAGCACACTGCTAAACCCTAACTTGCCCACCCAGAGTGACGGGGTGGAGGCGGATGGCAGCCACAGCAGCTCCCCAACCGTCTTGAATTCTAGTGGCAGGATGGATGAGTCCGTTTGGAGGCCGTACTGAGATTTCTTCTGTAGCCGGCCCGACCTCCGGAAGCCAAAAAAAAAAAAAATCCACCAAACCACCAAACGGTCGACTAACTATGAAGTGCCTGTTTTTTGTTTCTTTTTTTTAAAAAAAACCCCAGATTTTACCAATATGTGCAACTGTGTAGATGGGATGATAATGGCCATAAATAACACAAGAGTTACCAACATACCACAACCCATGTTTCAGATTATGTGAATCAAAGCACATATTTTATTTTTTTTTCCCCCTCTTGGAAGCATTTTACCTTGTTTTATATTTAAAATGTACTTTCTACACACACACACAAAAAATCACCCCGTCCTTTTTTTTCTTTTTCTTTTTTTTTTTTTTTGAATTTTTTCCTTCTATTTTTTCCCCCTAGAGTTTTGTAATAACTAGTGAGTACTTTTGCCAACAAGGAGAGAATGGACTCCCCGGCTATCAGGAGAAACATGGTGATGCAAGGCAAAGGCTGCATTCCCTTTTATTTTAATAAAAAACCAAAACTAACCATGAACTCCAGATACAGTTGCAATCATACAACGTATGGGACCCTCTCCACACCTGTAGTGCAATTCACCTGGTTTGTATTGGTGCACATAAAAAGGAAAGCAAAGAGCAAGTTGCTTCCATTTTGCTATGATCCATTCAGATGAAAACAGCTGTCCCAAAAAACTGTCCGAGCCTTGCTGCGGATAACAGTTGGAATTTCTGTGTTCATTGCTTTCTTGGTTTGTTTTTGGATATTTAAAGAGAATGAGTTTTCAAGTTAGGTGAGCCAACCCCGGGGTTTCCTTTTTGCTTTTGTATCCGTTCGTTTTGCCTTCGATTAGCCAAAAACCAAAAATAATAACCAAAACCTTGGAAAACAAAAAAACAAAATGTTATTACTTATGCAAAATATGAGAATGGCAATATATATTACTAGAGCCAAAATGGTATACATAGTATTTGTGTTCGGCTATGTTCTTTTTTTATATTTTTTAAATTATAAATGTGTAAAATTTGAGGTTGTTTGCTAACATGAATCATCATTTAAGTTTAAAAGAATATTTATAATTATTTAATGACATTTGGACCCTTTAAACGTTTCTTAATGTAATGATATATTGACTTCGGTCTCTAAAAGTGTTTTTTGTTTTGTTTAGTTTTTTTTTTTTTTATTACATTTCTGCAATAGTGTAAACCTCAGACCTTTACCCAACTCTGAAAAGCAGTTCCAGTGTGAACCAGTTTACAATGTGACTTAAAAACAACAAACCCAACCTAAATGCATCCACATCAAATGATTTTGGATGTAGGATCTTTTTATATAACTTATGAAGGAAATATTGTGTTTAAAATATTTTTATTAGCTGTCTGGTTGCCTTCAACACAGTCTTGCCTTTTAATCAGTAGTTGTGGAGACACTGGAAAAATGGTAGGAAGGATGAAATATTTTCCACCCTTCCCCTAATTTCTTTTTCTCCAAGGATTTTTTCTCAGAACTTCAAAATTTGAAAAGATTCATATTTAAAATGGTCTATTTTGACAGCATAATTTGGATTTCGACAGGGTTTTTTTTTCCCAAAGAAAAATCAAAACCATTTCAAAGCCCGTATTTTGCAAATGATGAATTGTTAAATATCTCAGAAGTGGGATTAAGGGAGAAATGGTGAAACATTTTCCCCTCCCCTTGCAATTTCAGCCCACTCAGTGGAATTTAAAAGGTTTCAAACTTGAGACAGAAACTGCCTGGTAGCGAGTCACCACCCATTAGCATTAAATGCGGGAGCTGTGCAGATGCTGTGGTGGCTCTGAAGCTGATGTGGCTGTTGCCTGTTAGAGGGATGAGCACAAGGGCAGCAAAATTCACCTCTGCCGACACAGAAGACACAAACCCGCCTTCAAAGCCACCCTGGGGCTCCCAGGGATGATACAAGCAGAGCAGGTTGCCCCCAAACCCCAACCTGTCTGTGGCCAAACTACCCCGCAGAGAAGCCCCATTTTTGCCCAGCCCAGGGCTGCCATGGCATGCAGGGAGGTGACATGGCATCAGCTGGACGTGGTGGGAGCTGAGTCATCCTCCCCACGCTCTCCCCAGGCAGGTGTTAAGCCTGGCTTAGTGGGAAGTTCAGCACGTGCCAGTGGGCTTGGCCAAAGCTCCCTCCTTCCACTGCCTCAGCGCTGCCCGCAGCCTCCTCCAAGCTGCTCCATGGGTGATTTTTGGCTACCTCCAAAGTATGGCAGTGAATCAATGTTGGGCACAGCCACACAGAGCCGGACACCACCCTCACTGCTCGTTAGCAGCGAAGCTGTTAAACGAGCTGCTGTTAGCATGGTACAGCCCTCCAATCTGCGTGATGACGTGCTCTTAAAAATAATAAATTAATAAAGTCTTTGCCTTCTAAAGGTTGTATACCAAGTATGCTTAAAGTATAAGTAAGACACTTTGTTTTTCTTCTAATACTTAGTTTTCCTTCAAAGATGGAAGCTGTAATTGATTCTATTTATTGTTGGTTTGTGGTAGCTTGAAGCATACCACTGTCCATTTATTTGTAACTGTAAAGTAACGTTTGTTAGTCTCAGCAGCACTTAAAAAACCAGTGTCTGGTTACACATTTCAGTTTTGTTTTTTGTTTAGTAAGCAAGAGAAAAAGAGATGTACTGCCAGTGCAAGCTGTTTCCTATTTAATAAAAGGTACTATATTTGTACATTATTTGTTATTGCTGAGAAGGGCTTTTTAAGGTTTACTGTATGCATATTAAGTAATTTTTAGGGTGCTTTTGTGTCGAAATGTTGTTAAGAGTGGCTGCAGGCAGCAACCCAGATTTCTTTTTTTCCTTAAGACTTTGTTGTAAAATTCAAGCACTTGGTTTTTGTTTCTGGATAAATCCAGCACAGACCAGACTTTTGTTTTGCCCAATACCAACAGGACTCTGTTTGTGTCCCCGCGGTTTTTCAACTGGACCTTTAGGGGCAAACGTTGAAAACGTTTTCTCCGCCCCATCAAGGTGCGTGTGCCTGATCAAGTAGATCGGTGCCCTTGTCTGACCTGGCTCTGCCTGCTTGAGATAGAAAGGAAAGGATTTTCTAAGAACCTGTGGACAGAGGAGCACCAGCCCCTTGACTTTCAGTAGATCCCCATGCCCCTGAACCCTCCTGGTGCCTTTAGAAAATCTGTCCCAGTACATGGCTGGTCATGGAGGGAGTCGTACAGGCTGAGGCAGAGATGCTCATCAGAGCTTTCAGAAAATGCTTGCGAGTTCACTTGGAAATGCTCTTGAATCAAATTTTCAGACCCAACCGGTGCTATGTAGTGAATCATATCAATTTATCTGAGCTTTTGTGAGGTGCTTGGCATCAGAGAATGGAGTTTCCTCAAAGGTACGACAGCCCTTCGCTTCGGGCAGTGGCAATCTTTGGCACCGGTCATAGATTTAAAGAAAAAAATTGCCTTTTTTTTTACCTTCCAGCTTCTTATCCTACCAAAGACTTACTTACAGCACAACAGGCACCATGTCCCTTTTGCCAAACAAAGGATTAAATCCTCCTCTCCCTCCTTCTAAGGGTAACCAGATCAGGTGCAGTGGGTTGGGACAGAAGAGTAAAGCAAATTATTTATCCAACAGCATCATTCACTTGGCGTTTATAGTTTCCTTTAAAAGCCCAGCTGTTGTGTCTTTCTTAGCATTGAACCTTTGTTGCCAGCAGTCCCCTGAGCAAAGATTTACCAGTTTCCACAGGTACCATCTGGAGTGGGGAGAATTTTTGCACTTTCACCCTGAGCAAAGCAAGGCTCAGCCCTGCACTGGGCTGCAGCAGCAGCAAGCCATGAGCAAAAGCAATAATTAAACCTGGATCAGCCATGAGCTCAAAGAAGTCCCATTCTCTGTCCCCCTGAATTTCTTGTTGTTTTTAAATAGAATGCATTTCAGTTTAACATTTTCTGAGAACTTTTTTTAGATGTTTGTTTACTTCCATGTTTACAGATAACTCTTTGCTTTTTTTTTAATGCAGTACTTTTAAGTATATCAGCCAAAACCATACTTTTACAGTAACTTTAGGTAATATGAGTGACATTCCAGTTTTTTTTTTGTTGTTAAATATGCTTTACCAATCTTGAATTTCCGCTGGAACAAAATATTTGTAGCATTTTGTGTAAATACAAGCTTTAATTTTTTATTTTTTCAAATGCTGTCACCCAAGATTTGCTTTTCATGCACATATTGTACAAACACTCTGCTTCATGCCACAGACGATGATTGTGGATCAGTTTACTTCAACTTCAAAGGGACTATTTGTATTGTATGTTGCAACTGTAAATTGAATTGTTTGGCATTTTCTCATGATTGTAATATTAATTTGAAGTTTTAATTTCATTTTCAATAAAATGGCTTTTTTTTTTTGTTAATGTTCTTCTACGCTTCTTTTTCTTCCTTGTCTCTTCTTGGCACCAGGCAGGGTAAAGCAAGCACATGCTAGGACATGGGACCAGGCTGTCTGTGGCTGACCCATCATTTCTGCAGCACTTCAGTTTTCAACTAAATATAAAAAGCAAGTTTCCAGGTGCTTGGGTGGTGAAAGAGACCTTCTAAACCTGATCTCAAATGTTGCTTCTTTTCCTGAGCCTGCAAATTATCAAAAGTTGTGTTTCTTAGAGGAGTGCAAACTGCTCTTGTTCATCTTGCTAGGCCACTAACTCTGGAACCAAACAACTAGCACTACCCAGGGCATTCCCAGGGAAAACTGGGATAGATTTCTAAACTGGGAGGAGGGATTTGGATTTGTGATGCTTTTCCATGATGGGGGTTGAGCTATCACCACCTCTTCCTGGTCAGACTTGAGGAATGCAGTCCCAGATAATCTTGTGATTTGCATGGCCTGAGGCAAGAATAGTTTTCAAGCAGCAGAAGATGTATGGATTGGGAGGGGACTGAGGGAGGAGGCTATTTTTCCTCCACCTTAGTGTCAGGTGTAGGAGGAGATGCAGCTAATGAAGGTGAGGTTAAGTTCACCCAAGACTGTCTGCAGGAGGAGAGGACAGGAGTTGTGGGCAAGCTTGTGCCTGGTTTCATAGTAAGTTCTTATCCTTTTTAGATATTTATTCAGTCTGTAGAAGATAAATAGTAGCACAGA